TTTGTTTGGCCCAGGCTTCACCACCTCCTCGAGTTTAGCAAATTTAGCCTTTGTCTTCTCCAGATTTATATACTTCTTGCATATTTTCAACACCTCATCATAATTTCTAGCAGAGGTCTTTGCCAACGACGTTCGACAAGGCCCCGGTCGCAGACTCCTAATCAGACCTCCTGCCTTTACCCCGTCCACCGCCGTGGGCACCTCCAAACACATCTGGTTATATCGAGCAACATATTTGTGTAAAGACTTTTTCTCTCCTTGTCGCATCGCCATCAACGTGAGGTATGTTTTCTCCTGAGCCACCGCGCTCGAGTATTGGTTGGTGAGCTAATTGCAAAATCCTCAAAATCCTTAATCGACTCCGGGGCAAGTTGATGGAACCAATCGAGTTCACTCCCGGGCAAGGTCGACAAGAACGCCTTGCAGCTAACCGAATCCGAGTACCCATGCAAAATAGACATATTCTCAAATGCCCTCACATGCCTCGACAGGTCGCTCGACCCATCAAAGATAAGATTTATCTCCCTGAAACTTGCGGGCAATGGCGCGACTAGATTTCCCTCGAGAACGGATGCCCTCGAGCGCGCCTGTCTTGTCTTCCTTCCACCTTCTCTTGCAACTGGTGGAGTTTCTAGGCCATTCTCTCCATCGCCCTATCCCTGAGATCTCCTCCTTCGTCGTAACTCAACATGTCCTCCTCCTGAGGTTCAACCACCGTCGTTGGTGCAATCACAGCCTGCGATGTTTGGTTGGTAGCCTGCTGTACTGTCTGCGCCGCCACGTTAGCCATCATCCTTTGCATCTCCTCCTCTGTCATCGTTACCATCTACTGAGCAGGAGGTACAGTTGCCCTATCGGGTTGTCCTCCTGTTGGATCTGGCAGTGGAGGTGCGAGAATCGCTATCGTTGTCGCCGTACTAACCTCTTGGACGTGACTGGGCTTTTCTACCACCGACGGATTCGTCGGCTTCACGCCGAAACCTTGAGGTGCAGGTACTGGGGTCGTCGGTGTCTACGAAGGTCCAGAGAAGCCTGGTGGAGGGTCTATTTCGAACGGCCTGGTTGTCGTCCACGCATCGTCGAACGACGCTTGCAAGTTACATGAGGTACTCCGTCCGCCATGGCTAAGCACGCAACACATCTTTCGAAACAGAGTCCCCACAGACAGCACCAATAATAAAAGTCTAACGCCCAACCGGCTGAGAACCGCGTCATGCTCACCTTCCTCGCCGGTAGAACGCCGAAACCTGCAAGAAAACTCTCACACCTGAAGGATTTTCCGGTAAAAAGCCTCCAACGCTCAAGTCTTCCTTGAGAAGATAAGAATATGTGTGGAAAAATATGTAAGTATCACGATCCTTTTTAAAGCCAGAGATCTCGCCCCTATTTATAGGACGAGTTACATGTTTTCACACGCGGTCTAGGTGAGTCGAGTTGGTTATCCTTCCTGCTCATCCATACAATCGCTTGCCTCCACTATCTTGGTGTCAGAAACGCGTCACCATGCGTCAGGGAACGTCAGAGACTGTTATCGCCCTGGATCACTCATTGTGCGCCGCATGTCCTCCTTACACGTGCTGGAGATTCCCTCTTATATTATAATGCTCGACCAAGTCTGGGATGGTTGTTGAGTTGTCCCTAAGGTACAAAGTGGTTGATTCTCTTACCATCGTTGTTCAACCATACTTTTCTTCGACCAGATCCCCGTGAAGTAGGTAACTGCCCCATACTACTGAACCCGTTCACCTTCATCTTCGACATCTTACTCTTGTTGCGAGTGTCTGGTTCGACCAGACCGCAATCCTACTTTATTCGGTTAACCCGGTGAACCGGTCCAGTATACAATATCCCATATCAAAGTTAAAATTATGAGAACCAGAAAGTACACCTTTAAGAATGTAATGTAAAAAACATGAAAATGGTTAGTGGAATGAAATCCTTTTATCTTTTACATTGAACAACAAAAATACTCGGGATAAAAAAAAATAATAATAAAAAAAAAAAAATAAAAAATAATCTTCCATAATGAAAAAAAATTTGCTAATGAACACCAAAAACAATAGGCGAGAACATAATGATCTTGTTTGGTAATCAACGGTTAGTTGATTGCATTAGCTGTTTTGACCAACAGATTAAATTAGTTGTATTGACCGGATGATAGTGTTAGCAGTTCGTAAAAAAATATTTGGTAAAATTAGCCGTTATAACAGTTAACATATAAAATTACTAATAAGGACATCATCATAATTTATCATTCTTATTTACGTTGAACTTATATTTATTTAAGAAATAAAAATAATGAATATTATAAATATCTATTAAATTGATTTAAAATATAGAAAAATATAAATAATATAAAATAAAAATATTTCTTAATTGATTAAGTAAGATCGCATCATATAAACAAAATCAATAACAAGCCTTCATTATTTAAAAATTTAAATATGAGTCAATTGCTATATATCTCATTACAAGGAAAAAAAAATATCAAAGTAAACTAAAACTTACAGTAACAATTTTCAAAAGTTATCATGATCATCTAAATAATTAAATTCATCACTTATTTGGAATTTATTTCTCCGTTTACTTTATTAGATTTGTCTAATTGTTTTGTTTGGGTGTTCCTAAAATTTTTTCACTAGATTTTTCAAATTGTTTGAATGTTTATCCAACTTTGAAACTTTTGACTAGATTTCTCAAATTGTTTGGATATTTTTATGGGATATTGTTTTAGGATATTATGTATGAACTAAGATATATGATTGTGTATCTAAGTAGTTGCCTATATATATATTTAAAATTTTAGAAAAAATAGTTAGTAAAATTTGTTGTTAAGTAATACTAAATATTAATTGGAATGGAATTTATATAATTAAATATATCTCTTATATTACATCAGTAAACTTAATACTCCCTCCTATTTTTTTTAAATGTCATTCTAGCTTTATCAACTATTTGATAAATAAATGTCGTTTTGGATTTTTTGTATATATTTTTCCATTATTACCCTCATTTAACTAATAAATACATCACGTCTTTTCATAATTACTCTTCATCTTTTTCTCAAAACACTCATCTCTATCTTCATTAAATAATGTTATTATTGACAAAAAAAATATTCTTAATAGATGTGCAACATCCCAAAACGACATCTATTTAAAATAGGAGGTAGTATTATTTATATGGGTTTGAACAAAAAATATCACATTTTTTATTATTTTTTTTTATGAAATTGTGAGACAAAATATTATTTATATGTGTTTGGATAAAAGTATCATTATTTTGATTAAATTTTTTTTTCTCTATAAAATTGTGAGATGTATAGACAGGTCTTCATGTATTAAATGCTGCAAAAAATAACATTTTTCATTTTGACGGATTGATCCAAAAACGCTAGTTACAACAACTTGTTTTTGGCTGTGATGTGACCGTTAGTAGTGGCTCGTGAGGAATCGGTTGTGATCCGATCATCATTGTCAATATGAAGGGGACCGGCTAAGCACTATGGTAGTCGGGCAGTTGGGAGTGCTCGGCGTCGCACGGTGTTCGGCGCCCCTCAAGTGCTCGGCATTGGAGGTGGTCGGGATGAAGTGTCTGGCGCGGCATCGTCTGGTATGATGAGTGCCCGGCGTATGGCAAATGCTCGGCCTTGGGAGGTGCCCGGCGGCCCTCGTGTGTTCGGCGGTCCTCGTGCGCATCGAGGAGGTTAGAACCTCAAAGTGACTTTGTGATCAAGTTACAAAAGAGTCTGTAGCAACAAGGACTCTCGGGATTCAGAAGACCTTTAACCTATTAAGAGTTTGATATGAAGAAGACTTCTTATCCCACTGGGACTCTCCACATCTCTCCTATAAAAGGGAGCAGGTTCATTTATTTTACACGACACACATTCACGAACTATCTCGTTACTCTGCCGTTTTCTCTCTAGACCATCACTGACTTGAGCGTCGGAGTGTTCGCGCCGGGACCACCCCCGGCGTCCTTTGCAGGTACCGACGACCAAGGAGACGCAACCCGGTTCGAGAGGAGCGGTCCAGCGGTTCGAGTATTTGTGGTATAACAGGCTGATTGTGCATGGTCAAACAACTAAATGGAAAAGCTCTTTTTAAAGCCAAAACGCTATTAAACAAATGCAGCCATATGTCATAAACGAAGGTCCAACTCCAAGCAACAAGG